AATGGCCGTCCTTAAAAACTCTACAAATAACAAATGCTGGAGGGGGTGTGGAGAGAAGGGAACCCTCCTACACTGTTGGTGGGAATGTAAATTGGTGCAGCCCCTATGGAGAACAGTATGGAGGTTCCTCAGAAAACTAAAATAGAACTACCACATGATCCAGCAATCCCACTCCTGGGCATATGTCCAGACAAAACTATAATTCAAAAAGATACATGCACCCCTATGTTCATAGCAGCACTATGCACAATAGCCAACACATGGAAGCAACCTAAACGTCCACCAACAGATGAAGGAATAAAGAAGATGTGGTACATATGTACAATGGAGTACTGCTCAGCCATAAAAAAGAATGAAACAAGGCCATCTGCGGCAACACGGATGGACCTGGACACTATCACACTCAGTGAAGTAAGTCATACAGAGAAACACACATACTGCATGGAATCATTTATATGTGGAATCCATACATGACATAAATGAACCTATCTATGAAACAGAAACAGACTCACGGACATAGAGAACAGACTGGTGTTTGCCAAGGGGATGGGGGCTGGGGGAGGGATGGAGTGGGAGGTTGGGGTGAGCAGGTGTAAGCTTTTATACACAGAATGGATAAACAACGTGGTCCTACTGTACAGCACAGAGAACTACATTCAATACCCTATGGTAAACCATAATGGAAAAGACTATTTTTAAAAAGAATATACACATATGTGTAACTGAATCACTTTGCTGCGCAGCAGAAATTAACACAACATTGTAAATCAACTATATGTCAATAAAAAAAATATCAAATAAAGACGACGACACCAGCCACTCAGAACAGACACTCAGCCCATGAGAACAGACCCCAGACCAACTGGCACATGGACCAACCAGTCAGAAGAGGTGGCTGCTGCAGGCGGGGTCCTGCTGGTGCACACAGGCTGACGGTGAGCCCCGGGCACAGTGAGCCCTGAGGGATCCCTGGAGGAAATCAGAACTGTACCCACAAGACCCCTCCTCTAACTGGCAAAACGAAGTGGCTCTGCCTGCCACAGAATTAGACCACATCCCCTGGTGAAACCGGAAAACATTCCTGGCATCCTGACCCCGTAAGTGGTGACCACATAACTGAAGGGGTCCCAGGACCCCCCAGTTTGGTGCTGGGACTAGGAATATGTTGATCAGATCTCAGTCCAGGGGAAGTCTCTTCCTGGGCCAGTTTTGGTGGTCTGAATTTATCAAAGTCTGCTTCTCTGCTGAGTGGTGAGCCAAGATGAGCCCTGAGGTGTGCCTGACAAGACAGCACCCGGGAAGCCAGTCACTTAGTGGAGGTAAGGCCCCCCATATTTGGTGCATCTGCTCTCTGGTGGCACCTGTGGTCCCCGCGCTGACCACCACGTGCCTGTGTGCCGGCAACCCCCAAGGCGAAGGCTTGTGGTCGCAGCCGCAATCACAGGCACCAGCAGCACCAACCCTCCCATCCTCGGCCCGACCTCGAAGTCCAGCTGAGGCCAGCGGATGCCTCATGAACTATGTTCTACGGTGGCCCATGTGTCACTGCTGAGCAGCAGTGTCATGATGCAGGCCAGGGGTCCTCAGCCTGGCGGAACATTAGAACCCCCTCAGACGCACTGACCCACAAATGCTCCCTGTCCCAGGGCGAGGGCAGCCAATCCTGGACCAGGCAGTGACCCGAACGGGCACACAGGTGCAGAAAGCAGAGTCCACGACACAGACAAGGTGCGCTTGTCCCGGGGCAGGGAAGGGGCCTCATCTCTGGCCAGAGCTCTCTGATGCCCCAGCTTAAGACCAGGGAGCCTTCGGGCACAGCGGTGGTGGTGGGAACAGACTCGGAGCTGCTTCGGAGACGTGCAGCGCAGGACACATGGGTGAGTGAAGGACAGAGGGAGCTTCCCGTAAAGAAACAGAGTGCACAGGCTTGGGGTGGAGGACAGCCCGACGAGGGTTGGGAAGCAGGGCCTGGAAACCGTGCCTCTCTCTCTCCCGCGCTCTCTTCTTTCATCTCTGCCCTCTTCATCTACTTAACTCCCGCTCTGCAGCCTGACGTCTCTGCCCTTGCGTATCTGCACACTCCTTCTGTCCATTCATTCAAGGGATGTTGATGTAGCACCTACCTCTGGCCAGGTCCTATCCCAGGCACGGGAACAGCCTTGACGAAACAGACAATAACCCAGGTCCCTGGGGAGCTGAAATGCTACCGGGGGCCAAATGCGGTCCTCCTGTGACCCCCACCCCTGGCTTCGCCTTCCTCAGCCTGCCAGCAGGCCCCCTAACCTCCAGCGCCTGTCGCCCCCCGGCACCGCCCATCGTGTGGCCTTCTCAGCTCATAGCACCATGTGAAATGGCGTTCCCCTTGTCACCTGTGTCACCTCAGTGTACCTGGCGATGTTCAATATTTCCTCAGTGGAGGAAGGTCCCAGCTGCCCTCATGTCCCTTCCGTTGAGTTCTGACCACAAATTCCCGCCACGGCAGCCTGGAAGGACTCCCGGGGTGGGGCGTGGAGTAGGGGCAGGGGCTCGGGCACCCTTGGTGTCATAGCGCAGCTGCAGTGCCTCAGCGGGGCCCCAGAGGCTGGTCCCACGTGGGCCTCTCCAGGGGCTCAGGGTAGGGCGGGGACCTCCCAGCGCCAGCACAGACCCAGACGGCGGCCCGACCGGCTGCCTTCTCCCTGGGACAGGAGGACGGGCGACCCTCGTTGCTGCTCAGCGTCTCGGCCACCCAGGAAGAACGGTCAGTTCCAAGGCACTGAGCACCCTGTGTGTAGTTATACGTTTTACCTGCATGATCTCAACTCCCTGAAGCAGAAACGCTTTGGGCTACCCACCTGGAAAAATCAACGCGAATGCTTTAAAATCACTGCACTTAACACAATCCAGACGCGACAGGCCCCACCCACCTGCCAGGCAGCCCAGCGGCAACACCAGGGATGCAGCTTCTTTCCTCCTCAGCGTGTCCTCCTTAGGGCCTGTGTCTGTCCTCCTGGTGCCGGGGAGGGGGCGGGGCAGCGGGGGTGGGGTGGTGGAATGCTCCAACTCCAGCATCACACTCACCTGGTCAGAAAGGGGTGGGGAGGAGGGAGGAGCTCAAGGCCTGTGTCTGGTCTCTTTTTACAAGAGGCCCAGCAGGTAGACGTGCACTTTGTTCCCCCGAGTGTGGTGTGTGGCCGCTCCTGGCTGGAATGTGTTAGGCAGCAGGGTCACAGCTCGGGGTCACGCGGCGAGCACAGCATGGCTGGCACTGGGTCTATTAGGCTAGACCCCTATGCCTACTCTTAATCAACCCACTGCCCTCCCAGAGGCACAGGGAAGGTTCCAGGTGAAGCCTGCAGGCTGGGGAGGGGGCCCTAGCGAGGCCCCAGAAGGAGCTGTGACAACGCCCTGCCCTGCCCCATGCTCTCCCAGAACTAGGTTTTCTCTCGGGGCAGAGAAGGACGGAGGGAGTGAAAGGGCACCCTCCAAAAAAGGTTTGATTGTTGTTTTTGTCAGCTTGCTTATGACATTTGAGACTTTAAGTGTACAAAGAAAGGTTACAGAATGAAAATAATTAACGCTTGTCGACACTGCTTGTCCCAGAGGTGGACTGGTATCATCAGTCTTTTGTGTACCACACTAGAAAATATTCCAGTACATGGCCTCTCTGTGCCTCAGTTTCCTCCTCTGTAAAAAGGGGATTCTAATACCTGCACCCTGAGCTTGTGATGGTGATAAGTGAGCTTGCCCTTGTAACGGGCTGAAAGCTACTGTGGATTTAAAACCACGAAGCTATACACGCCTGCCGCCCCGAGACCATCCACCTTACACACAAATGGGCCTCACTCTTTTCACTGGGCTGCACAGTTGCTGTGTGTGGCAAAGTTCATGTATTTAACTGTCCCCCGTGGGGACAGTCTGGCTGTTTCTGGTCCCGTCCCCATGGGCGTTTACCAAAACAGGTGTGTGTCTCTTTGGGGCCACCTCCTAAAAACGTGAGCCCTGCCAAACGTCACATGCATTTAAATCTCAGACGGACATTTCCTGATTGCCTGCAAAGCACTGTAACCAACACCCAAGTGTCGCTAGAAAGGTCCCCTTCCCCACCTCAGAGGGGTGTGATCCTTAACGTTCAAATTGGCCACACTCACTATCCAAATAATTAGAAAAGGCTCTTTAGCAACAAGAAAAATGTCTCCACATCCAGAGCAATCCAACCCGCCAGGCAACGTCACCCAGATTTTAAACACAGAAGGCCTTTATCTTTATTTATACATTATATACAGTCTGTTCCGTGTGTACATCATGGACTATTGTGAAACAACGATGGACTCGTGCCCGTCGGCTCAGCCTTGTCTCTTGTTTCCTCATTTCTGAATAGCCCAGACCCTACCCTGTCAGTGTGCAGGGCCCCTGCTCCTTGGGGGTCGAGGGCCAGAGAGGGTAGGAGGAGGGGCGGGCAGTGCGACCACACGGGCCATGGGTCCCACCTGAGGCACCACCACGTGGACTGTCGGGGCTTCCATCAAATCCCGACCTTCCCAGGGAAGAAAACAAGCTACACCGGTTCAGGGGCTCGCGGGGGTCGTCAGGCTCGCCCTGCGCCGCCCAGAGGCCGAAGTGGACCTTGGCTGGACCTACCCGCCCCGCCAGAGCCCCACACCCTCCCCGCGCCCCTCCCTGTCCGTCCCGCCCAGCTCTCAACCCCAACGTCCCCGAGCCCCGCCCCTCGGCCCCCCCGCCCCGCCCCCCAGGGCCGCTCCACTTCCGGGCCGGGAGGAGCCTCCACGGCCCCGCAGGTCTGTGCACCCCGATCGCCCCCCCACCCCGTGAAGCCCCCTGGGCCCCTCCAGGTGGGCACCGAGGTGAAGCCGCTGCGAACCAGGCCGGCCTCACCCCTCCCTGTGGCTCCGCCCTGAGTTTGGTCAGACACGTGGCCCCCGGGGCCTGGGAGGGGCCCGGGGAGGTTCTGGGGGTGGCAGCGTGGTGTCGCCACCTCGCCAGCCCCCAGGCCGCCCGGCATGAGCTCCGGGGTCGCCCTGCGGCTGCGGACACTCCAGCGACACCTAGGCTCCCTGGAGGTAGGGGGACAGGCCGGAACTCGGAGCCCCTGAACTGCCCTCCACCTGGGGCTAAGGGGACAGAGCTGGGTTCCGGGAGACCCCGGCCACCCACAGCCGGCACTGACTGAGGGAGAGGCCCGTGGGTGTGGAGACCCCTTCAGTGCTGGGGGGAGGGGCTGCTGGGGGAGGAGCGGGACAGGTCAGCGACCTGCATGGCAGTGTGTCACCGCAGCCTGCGCGGGCTGCTCGGCAATTCCACCCGCAGCTCCTCACCCAGGGCCCAGGGGCAGTTTGGGACTTTGTCCCCCGGGGCTGTTTACACCGACTCCGCTGCCTCATACCGGCAGGTGTGGACACAAGGCAGCTTCCCTGTCCTTCTCGTGGCCCAGGGCAGAGGTATGGAGCCGGGCAGCAGCCCGCTGACCACCCACGTATTGGACACTGCCTCAGGGCTTCCGGCCGAGGGCCTCTGCCTCCGTGTGTCCAGGCTCGAGGACCATGGCCAGCAGTGGACCGAGCTGAGGAAAAGGTAGGAGGGTGGTCTGGGGCAGGATTCAAGTCCAGATCACCTCCCCGCCCCACGCCAGGGCAAGGGGTGCAGGCCTGGAGGGCAGGGAGCAGGGTTCGCCACAGCCGGACAGTCCCCTGGCAGACTCTCGGGGCCACGCTTTCAACAGGCTGTGTAGTCCTGGTCAGGGCCACAAAACGTGCTGGGACAGCTCACAGCCCAAGTGCCCACTGCAGGGGGAAGAGGGGTGTGTCTCTTCCTGCAGGCTGGGCTGGCCGAGGCCTGAGGTGGGACCTGAAAGGCCTGGTTGTCACTGACTGACGGGTGACCTGTGCGGGGCAGCAGGCGGGCACTGGACGTTCTCTATATTCTCACTACACCCTGTGTGCAGACACCACAGGCACCCCTTTCCTAGACTGGGGGGCGAGGGGGGACGGCTGGGCCAGCAGGAGGTGTCCGCTGCCTGGCAGCGCTACCCCTGCCCCAGGCCCAGGCTCTGCTGGGGGACGCCCAGCCCAGACTGGCAGGTGTCATGGGTCAGCCTGTGAGCAGTTTCCCCCGCCCCTCCCGCTGGTGTGGGCTGGTAGGCTGGACCCCAAAAGTTCCAGGCCTGAGGGTATGGAGCCCTTCAGAAAAGCTGGGGTCCAGGCCCCGCCTGCGCTTGGAGGAACACACGGAGTCCAGGGCGGGGGGCGTACAGACCCACTCCCAACCACACCCCCTAAACTGTGCTGGTAAATGCCACCCTTTCTGATCACAGCGCAGACGCTTGCGAGCACCGCTGCAGGTGCCGGGGGCTCCGTGGGAGCAGAGTCCCTCAGAGCCTCCACTGGTGCCGCTGGAAACAGGCCACCACGCGGACGGCGATTTGGGTACAGTTACTGAACCAGAAAGCCACGCACAGTATATTAAACAAAAAGTACACGTTATAAAACACTGTGACTAGTACAACCCGTTTTTAAAGTTTGTAAACGAGCATATTTACGTATAGAGAAAATCTGAAAAGTATACATGCCAGATATAAAGCGATTATTGCTCACGGGGTAGATTGTGGGAATTTTCTCTCTTCTGCTTCTCTGTGATTTCTCAAACAGTGCGCAGTGTCCCTGGGCTGCTCCAGAGCCCCAGGTCCTGGAGGCTGTCCTGCTCCATAGCCGCCCAGGCCCGCTCACCCGAGTCCCAGTCAGGCTGCGGGGACATCGGAGGCCGGTGGGCACGCAGCCCCAGGGGACCCAGGCCGGGGGCTCCTCAGCCTCCTCTGCAGTGCCCCCCGCTTTCTCTCCCCAGCTACACGGACCCTGACGGCCGCTGCCCTGGGCTCCTGCTGCCAGGCCAGATGAAGGCGGGCACCTACAAGCTGTCCTTCGACACTGAGGGCTACTGGCAGAAGAGGGGCCAGGAGACCTTCTACCCGTACGTGGAGGTAAGGGCCAGACGGGTGAAGGCCCGTGACTCCCTGTGACCCGCAGGCTGGCCCTGCGCCTCCACCACCTCGCACCTGCTTTGGGCTCCCAGAAGAAAGCGGTGCCGGGCTTGACCGCATCACGCCCGTCCCTGCCCTGCTCCGGGGTCAGGCTGACTCAGCCCCTGTGGACAGAGGTTCACCCGAGCCCCGTCCAGCTCACTGTCCCCCTTCAGTTGACCTGTTCGGGCGGGACCCCTTGGGAACCTGCAGGCCCAGGGCCCCTCAGATCGAGTGCTTTCTCTGGGGAGGACCCAGCCACACCCACCGCCCCCCAGCTGGCCCTGGGGCTCCTGCCCCCCGACTGCAGCCCCAGGTCAGCCGTCTGGGCTGCTGAGTCCACGGCAGCACTGAGGCCAGGCTGAGTGCGCTCCATGCTGGCTCCTGGCTCTCCCGGTGTCCCCTCTGCCCGCAGGTCGTTTTCACCATCACAAACGAGACCCACAAGTTCCACGTGCCGCTGCTGCTGAGCCCGTGGTCTTATACCACGTACCGAGGGAGCTAGCGGCTGACCGGCAGCCGACCTGCGAGCCTGGACCCGTCACCACGGCAGGCTTAGCCGCCCCCGACCAGCAGGGCAGGCTTGTTGCTCACGGGCACCAGGGTCACACTTCCCAGGGACGTTCTGGCCCCGATTTCCCAGTGGCAGCTGTCACTTGGGCTTCAATAAAGTTGCTGCTGGCATCTGCGAGGCGGCTGCGGTCACTAGGCACGCTCGGCTGGAGCTGCCCAGCCCCAGGTGGGATGGGGGCGGGTGTGCGCACAGAGCTGGTGGGCTCGGGGAAGGGGCCGGACGGCACCTTGGGCCCTGGGGGCGCCTCTCCACACAGCCACGCAACAGGACACGCGGCACTTGTGAAAACCTTCATTTGCTGACGACGCACGTCTACAAAGCAAATACCTGCTGTCCTCGGTGCGTGAGGTGGGTGTCCTCCGGGCAGTGGCCCCGGGCAGGGGCTACGTTGGGGTGCCCACGAGTCCTGCGGGGCCCTGGCCCAGCGTCTGCCCAATCACGGACGTCTCCAGGGGCTTGAAGCCCACGTTGTCCAGGGGGACCCCAAAGGCCAGGAGCTTCGCCTCATAGGTACGCAGCAAGTCATTGTGGGCCTGTGGGGACACAGAGGCCTCAGGGGAGGGGTAGCCGGGGCTGACCCTCGCTCAGGCCCACCCAGCCCCGTGGAGAGCTAGCCTTTACCAGGTGCTCACTACACCAGACCCAGACCCTCACACGCTTATTTAAATTTGAGAATCTAATTGGCTTCATTCACGGCAGCATCCAATCTAGTAAGCGGAAGGGTGCTCCGAGGAGCTGTACAAAATGGAGGCTTTTATGGGCACAGGAGGGCGGGACAAGGAAGTTAAAAGGGTGGGCACCTTCCCTTAGGGGAGGCAGGGGGTCTTAGGCAGATCACCTCCCACTGCTGATGGGTTTAAATTTCCACTCTAGGGAGAGGCTAAAACTTCGATTAGGTATTAAGTCTTGGTAGGGTTCACATAAGTGACTCCGTTTAGGGCCTGTTGTTTCTTTTAACAGTCCCCCCTTTTGATCAAACTCTTAGCCTGAGAGATATCAAAATGTTAAGGCATTAGTGCCGCTCACAGCTACCACCTGTATTATCTCAGCTTTTGCTGATTCTGTTTGGGTTTTTGTTTTTGTTTTCCTGAATCTCTGGGATTCACAGGTCAAGACTTCGGGTTCACATTTTTTAAGTCCGTCATTCCCCACGTCTTTTTCAATATTCCAGTCTTAAGGAGATCATTTGCTTGGTGGTTAGTGGCTGCGAACATGGATTTAAAGCTTTTGGGAAAACATAACGCACCAGGGGTATGATTATGATTATTATAAGCAGGACAAACCCCAGTGTTTGGAGTCCTCAAGGCCAAACCAATCAAAGGCCCCATGGAAGGGGCCATCCTTTTAAGCCAAGTGACTTGCCCAGGGATCTCATGTAGCTGAGTTTCCACCTCCCCAGAAGAGTTGGTCCACATGAGCAGGTGGTGATGGCCATGCACAGACACCTCCTGGCTCAGCTAGAAGACAACCAGAGGCTTTCCTTCTGTCGAGAACAACTCTGGCCCGAGTCTGAGGACTTTTATCGGGCACTACCCGACCACTTCATGTGCGGGACCTCGGATAACCCACAATGGAAGATGCCCCACCATCCCTGTTTCACGGCTGGGGAGACTGAAGAGGGTGTGCACTCAGAGCAGGACTGTGGTTTGAGTTCCTGGTCCCTTGCAAGCATTTCTCACTCAGGCTCAGCATCCCTGCCTTCTCAGGGATGACCCCCCTGCCTTGTCTACTGGCATCTATTCCCTTCCCCCATCCCAGAAATGCCGAGATCTGGGCAACAGCGCTGGCAGTGCCAACACAGACAGGGTTTCTGTGCCCCCATCCTTTACAAGCAGAGGTTTTTAAAAGGGCACATTTCGCCAGGCGGTTGCAAGCGTTTGAAGAGCTGATGCATGCTACGTGCTCAGAGCCTGGCCTGACGCAGAGCAAAAGCTCAAAGGGGCTCCTTGTCCCCGGCATCGGCAAGACAAGGTGCTGGGAGCTGAGAGCCAAAGGGTGAGGCAGGGCCGGGCTCCAGCACGACTCAGGGGCTGGGCCCTGGCCCTCACCCACCTCTGGGGTTCAGCCCTCCCCACAGTCAGATGTGGGTTACGAAAATTCCCCCAAGAATGCATATAAGTATCAGGGGTCCCCAGAGCACCTGGGGAGGCCCCTGTGGGCAGGGAGGGCCCAGGGGACTTGGTCACCACGGAGCCGAGTGCCCATGACGGGCAGTGCCTTCATGCTGGGGCTCCACAGCCCAGGGCTCACATCTGAGTCACGCAACCGCGGGGTGCTCACTCTCGGGAAGTGCGTCTGCAGGCAGCACTGTGTCTGCGTCCCCACGGGCCAAGCACTGACAGAGCTGCGGGCTCAGCCACGGAGCTGGGGACGCTGGGTGCAGGCACAGACGGCACCAGGGTCAGGGCACTGCACTCCCCAGCTGCAGGAGGCCTGTGTGTGTGGCTTTCACCAGAATCAGAAAGGCCTTGGAAGACATGCTTGGAAGACGTGGACGTGACTCTGAGGGAGCAAACCGCCCCAAACCGCCCCAGAGGCCAGGCTAGTGCCGTGGCACCAGAGCAAGGGCTGGACAGGGACACAGGGACAGCCTGCTGGACAGGACGCCACGCATGCACTGGGCAGGCCCCATCAGGGACACCAGGACAGCGTCGGAGCCATGCAGATGTACTCCAGGCCACCTGCAAGCCAAGTGACCCTGGGCAGGCGCAGACAGCCTCAGACTGTGTCAGCACCCAAAGGTAAAGATCAGGTGGGGTCCTGGGTGAGGAAGGGGCCTGAGGGAGGGGTGTGGAGCCCCGGGCAGCTGGCAGAACATGGGGGAGGGGTGGGGGTCTCCTCGCACCTTGCAGACCCGGGCCAGCTCGTACTGCAAGTCCTTGATGGTGCTGTTCTTTGATTCCAGAACGTCCTGAGGAAAGGAAGGTGTCAGGACGTCCACACGGGGAGCGGCTGGTGTGGAAAGGTCTCCAACGGAGACAGATCTGCATCTCCATAAGGAAACTGCCCAGATGGTGAGAAGGGGCAGCCTGGCCTGCTTCTGGGGCCACCCCGGCTGCCAACGCCATCCCAGGGAAAACCCCCTTGATCCCCCACCTGCCCTGCCCTGGCCCCCAGGCACAGCCATGGTGACTGCCATGGACGGGCCGAGTTTTTATCCCCTCACCCTGGTCGCTGGCAGCACTGGGTCGCTGGCCCAGCTGCAAGACCGGCTGTCCTTCCCAAGAGGAGAGCAGGAAAACCCTCCTCCCCTTTGTGATCCACACACAAGGGACAAGAACAGAGACGAGCCCCCAGACTCAGGACCGTGGTGACGCCGGCCCAGACGAGGCCCCACCATGAGGCTGCACTACTCCAGCCCCGAGGGCCGAGCCTGGGTAACTTGGGTCCTCCAGGCACTGCCACCCACTGAGCCAGGGCCATTGCTCCCCTGTGAGCGAACACCTGGTCTCAGCCAGAACCTTGGGCACGACATCACCTCGGACCCCAGCCCCCTCCTCCACTGGTGACGAGTCATCCTGTCAGCCCTGCCCACCCTCTCCTGCCCTCCTATTGCCATCTGAGGCCTGTAACCCAGGAGATCTGCTTCTGTGTGGATGAAGAGCAGGGGCAGACAGGGCCCTCCAGCGTGGAAGGACCTTCCGTGGAGTCACGGAGGCCAGCTGTGGTCTGTGTCCGTCTCCTAGACCCCCAGGGAAACCGTACCTGGGGCCACCTCAGGCCTGGCGGCTACAGGTCACCCAACTGGCCAGGATCCCAGAGCCAGGCCACGCTTCCCTAGCAGCACCAAAGACCCCTTGTCCGTCATCACCTGTTTTCTTCTGTGGCACATCCCACCCAGGTCAGGGAGCAGAGGGACAAGGCCAGTTCCAGGTAAGGTCACCACCAGGGGCATCAGGGCTTCTGCCTGCTGAGCCAGCGGCAGTGGCAACTGCCGTCCTGAGTCCTCAGCTCACCCTGCTGGCTTGTGGTCACCAAGGCCTCCTCTGTCTTTTTACTGCTGTGCCCCGTGCCCAGGACAGTCCCAGACCAGAGGAAAGCCACACACAACTGCAGACTCTCGAGTGAACAGACGCTCCAGCCTCTGTTCAGGTGTGACTCCCTCTGGGAAGCCTTCCCAGCAGCCATCACAAAGGCCACTCACGGCCCTGCATTCCCCCTGCCACGGCCTCAACCAGCACATCTCAGTGTCCCAGGCGGCCGGCGGCCGTGGCCTTGGCTGAGAGACTAAGCTGGAGTGGGCAGGGGACTCGGGCTCAAAGGTGCCGGGAGGCTAAGGAGAGGCCGGGGAAGGCCTCAGAGACACCAGGGCAGAGCCCGGGAACCTGGGGAGCCCGATGGCTCACACAGGCCTGGGCGCTCGGGCCAGGAAACCACAACAGCCCCTCTCCGAGGTGAACTGAGACTCTCCACTGAGGGACGGAGGCTGGAGCACAAGACAAGAGCCCCGACCGGAGCCCAGCCCGCCGGAAGCCCCTCCCCGCGGGCCCCTGGGACCGACCTCCAGCTTGCGGGACACGAGGGTCAGGGCCGCAGGGTCCAGGTTGGAGGCCGCCGGCACCTCACGGAACTGCGTCTCCTCCTCCTCCACCGCGGCGGCCAGGGCCTGCACCTTGCGCTCCAAGACGAGGTTCCTGAGGCCCACCTTCTGCTGCACCTCCAGGATGGCTGCGGTGAACTTCCCGTACAGCCCGTCCCGCTCCTGCTGCACCTGCGGGATGGGCCCGGGCTTCTCACTGGCAAGAAGGCCCTCCCGGCTCTGCCCCGAGACCACGGCACAGCACCTTCACCAGCGCCCGGCCACGGGCAGGCGAGTCTGAATCATCTACGCCGCCTGAGCCCCACTCTGTGACCGAATTAGAGGTGTGCGGCTGTCCACCTCATGGGCGGCAAGAGGAAACACCTCTGGGAAGGTGTCTCAGGAAGCCACGAGGACCCTAGTACGAGCTGCACAGACCCCCAGAGGGGCTGGGCCCAGCCCTGCCCTGGGTCTGGGCAGCAGGCTCGGGACCTGATCATCCCCGTGAGGTCCAGGGCCTCAGACTCAGCAGTGTTGGGGTGGGGGCCCCTTGGAGGTCCACTCCCTCTGCCAGCCCCAGACCCTGGAACACAAGTCTAGAGCGAGCACTGGAGCCACCCGCCTGTCCACCAAGAACAGTGTCTTTTTCATCTCCTTTAAGTTTTAACTGTGCACCATTAAACAATCAAGACTGAGTAAGGGTGTAAAAAGGAAAAAGTAAACACTCCTCAACCCCACTTCCCAGAGGCCACCATCTGAGCATTTGCTGGGACTCCTTCCAGAATGTTCTGCACTGCCATAAAAACACACATCACTGCTAGGAAGAGGAGAGGGCTGTGCTGAAACCCTGTAGCACCGTGTCTTTCTAACTACAGGATCGTATTCTCAAGATGTGCTTCAATCCAGTCCCCGTCCTCTGCTCTTTAAAACATGACGAGTCTGGTTTCTTAGGGGCGCTGCCTGCCTCCCCTGCCGCAGACGACATGCAGACGGAAGAAAAGGTGGCAGAGTCCCCTCCCCACTCACGCCACCTTGCAGCGGGGAGCCACGTCTCCCTGGTTGCCTACGGACCCTCCCCTCAGCTGCCCTCAGCCTCCGGGACCCTCGGAGGCCCCCTGAGGGTGCCTCTTGCTCTGACCGCTTACGGGATGTCCTTTCCACTGTCAGTCTGCGGCGGTAGCTGTGCTAACGGCTCACAAAGAGGGGGCGGCTCTGCCCTCGGCCAGGCCCAGGGCCAGACCCCGGGACCTGCAGGCAGGGAGGGCCATCTCTGCAGAAAAGCACATGCAGCGAGACACCTGCCTGCCACCCAATCACATCAGCGAAGACCTGGTGCCGGCGGAAGTGGCCCCTTGGGCACTGTGGGTGGGGTCACAACTCTGAACATCCCTCCCGGCAGGCTATCTGCACCCTAAACGTGAACCTTCTCGCCCAGCAGTTCCCCTGCTAGGAATCGACTTCCCTGAAAGGGATACACAGTTGCACAAAGACAAACTTAAAAGGATGCCTGTAACAGCAAAGGACTGAAACAGAGATTTCAAGTGTGACCCGATCGGAGAGACGGCACACAGGCCGAGACGAGAACACGGGCGCTCCAGATGCCCTCACTTCTGGGAAGCAGTGTCCCGACGCTGGGACACACAGCAGTGTGGGAGGGGAGTCAGGAAGCTCTGACCACTTGTGAGGACCAGCGCGCAGCCCCAGGGCCCCCCTGTTTTGCACCCACAGGCTTTCTTACAACGCACACATAAAGGTGTGGGGCTTAGAAACACACACACAGATGGAGAAAGCCCTTCCTTCAAGGGGCCAGGCCACCTCCACACTTCAGAGGAGAGCCCCAGGGGACAGCCATGGGCGCCACCCGCTCGCTCCCCACCAGGGACCGCCCTCTGAGACCCAGGCCGGCCGCCCACCGAGAGCCACGCAGAACGAGGAGGGCCACGGGACCTCCAGCTGCCGGAGCCGGGCACCCAACCCGGCACCCAGGCGTCCCGGGAGCTCGCCTGGATAAAGCGCTGCTCCAGAACCTCGTGCTCCCACTGCAGGCTCTTCAGCTCCTTCTCGGTGACTTTCAGACGGGCTTTCGTGCACTGGAGAGAAAAAGGGGGGTGGAGGAGAGAGCACTCCCGACTCAGGCACCCACACGATGCAGCTCCCGAGCAACAGCCAGGCCAGGTGAGCGTCAGAGGGAACCAGCTCCCAGGCGTGAGGGGCTGAGCCACCGGGGCGGCCCGCCAGGGCCACCCACCTCCCAGAACAGGTGCCAGCCTCACGTGCCCCAGGGCCACCAGGCCCAGGAAGGAGGGGCTCAGCGCCCCTGCCCTCCCTGCCCCGAGAGCCAGGCTCTGCTCTGGTCCTCAGGAGACGCCTCCCAGCCCTTCCTGCCCTTCCACACCCAGGAGGAGGTGCCAGGGAGGGCCAGGAACCGGGCAGAAACCCACCAGCAGCATCTGCTTGTCCCTCTCGTAGCCCCCGAGCAGCTTCCGCATCTCGCTCATCTCGTCCCGAGCCTTCTGCAGGGGGTCTGCCAGGCGCCTGTTCTGCGCCGACACCTCCAGCATCTCCTTCTCCAGGTGCCTCTCCTTCTTCCGCACGGCCTCCATCTGCTCCTGCGGGCACGAGGGGTGGGGGGTCGGCAGGCAGGACCAGGGGCTGCGGCCTGCAGGGCGAGGGCCGCGAGCTCCCCTGCCTGCAGAGAATGGTCCTGCCGGCACCGTGAGGACCTACATCTGTTTTATGTGCAAACACACAGTATGTTTTCACAGTTTTAACTTACTCTGAATTTTCTAGGGCTTCAGCCTCTGTGCAAATTGAGAGATTACACTCTGCTCATGACCCCCAGAGGACATCCTCCACGGCCGCCAGCACTTGGCTGACGATGACGCCCCTGCGGTTCCACCTGACCTTTGACATATCCCAGTGCATACAGGTGTATCACTTCCCTGCCACGTGAGGGTTAGGGCAACAGCCGGACCGCAGCCACGGCCGTAGCGGGCAACACAACTTGCGAGCTTCGATCAAGGGCAGCTGAAGGGCAGGGTCAAATGCTTCTACAAGCAGGGGTGTCGGCCCAAGGGGGCCGGGCACTCTGGCAGCACCTTGAGGGAGTTGATGAGAGCCAGGCTGCTGAGGGTGATTTCATTGTAATAGTTCCTGAGGTCCGCGAAGGCCTCCTCGTGGCGCCGCATGAGCGCGCTGATCTGGCCGTTCCTCCTCTCCTCGACCTCGTGGATCTCTGTCTTCCTGCGCAGGTCGAGCTCATCCCTAAGCATCCTGATCTTCTTGTTGTACTTGGCCTCGATTTCTGAAAGGCAGCAGCACACAGAGCAGCTGAGCAGAATGCTGGCCCTGTGGGTACGAGAAGAGATGGCAGCTGTGCCCAGGGCCGAGAACACCCACCAGGACGAAGGCCTCACCAACAAGCTCTGCGGACAGCGGGACGGGGCGGGGAGTTTCTCCTGCTCTATGGCACCAGCACACACACCAGCCTGCCCTCCTTGCCCGTCGCAGGCACTGCTAACCAATCCCTGCCTCAGGGATCCCAACAGCCGAGTGTCACCCAGTCCCAATGGGCTCTAACCACGGCCAGCCAGCCAGACTACGGGCTCTATCAGTAAACCAAACAGACTTCCGAGGTTGGAGCCTCCGCAGGCCGTGAGACCTGGACACTGCCCACGAGGCTGGATAACTACCGCCTGCTTCTAGGTGCCGCTTCGTGCCTGAGGGTGTGGGCGGGTACTGGGTGGTCCTCACAGCCTCCCACCTCTCATGGAATAGGGTGTTCTGGGATCCTGAATAGTCCACCAGCCTCACTTTGCACGTCTGAGCTGTTTTAACTGGTTTATGTGCCCGGTTAGCGAGCGCTGTTGGGCAGTCCCTTCCTGACGGGAGGGGCTCTGGGGCCGTCTTACACGGAGCGCGGGAGACGCTGACCTCGCACCTGCCGCTCAAAGTCCTTGCGCATCTTGGTGATCTCCTCGGCGTGTTTCTGCAGAGGCGGAAGTGGCCAGTCACTGGAGGTCAGACGGGATGGGACAGACGCCGGCCCCTCAGCCCAGCCCCTCGCCTCACTGGCAAGGAAAGCCCGGCTCAGTAAACCTGTAGGGCTTCTGCTGGGCCCCCCGCCTCTGAGCTCATGGACCCAGCCCGGAATAGCCCGGAATAACAAGGGTCGGTAGGTAAATTCCACATTTGATAATGCACTTCCCTCAGCGCAGGTCACCTCGGGGCTGCAGAGAATGCTGACAGACATCCCGGCCCCTGGCCGTGCCCAGCCCTTCCCACCCTGCCCAGAGGCTGGACGGCAGGGGCCAGACCCACACAGAGCTGCCGGCTCCCCGCTGTCAGCTAACCTGCTTTGGCTTAGAACACCGTTACAAATTATTTTAATAGACAGTCATAAATTCTGAATAGAAAGCTTAAATTAGACTCCAGAGCAGTGTTTTCACTCAGAGCGGCACTCTGACCGTGTACCTACTCCACGCCCAAGGCCTCGCATAAGCAGAGAGCCCGCACCGCTGTACTTGTTGGAAGGCAGCCCACTCTGTGCTCCTGTCAGAAAGACCAGACCGCCCTCAAGCGTCCAAGACTTCAGCTCCCTCAAGCTTCACGGCAAAGTCTGCAGTGTTACTGATTTATTTCCAGATTCAGTTGAGGCTGGGCCGCCTCCAGACATACACAGAGGCAAGTGCACTGACAAAGTCTTTCAACCCACAGCCAGGAACAACCTCTGAAAACCAAAGTTGGACACATCCTCCCTTTGCCCACGCCCTCCAGAGGTCCCCAACTCAGTCCTGTCCCCCAGACCCCTCATTCCTCACTCCTGGGGGCCGTGGCACTGGTCCATCCCCAGCCCTTCTCAGGGCCTGGTCTCCCCCAGCCCTGCCTTCCCCCCACCCTTGCCCGGGTATCACCTTCTCAATGAATTCCCAGAATGCGTAGAAAAATGCAACCACCCTGGTTCCCAGCACCTTCCTGTAGCACTAATGCCCGCAGACCTGCGACACAGGTTTGACAGTTTATTTTGTCTTCTGTCTCAGGGGCAGCCTCTCCATTCTAGACCATCAGCCATGCGTGGGCAGGCATTTTGTCAGCCCCATCCTCTGTGTCCCCAGAGATCAGAGCTGCGCCTGGCGCTTAAGAAGGAATTCCAACCTCCACCTGGAACCCTGCCGCCTCCCTCAGAAAGGACCAAAGAGTCTCAAAGGTCAGCGAGGCACTTGAGAGCACAGCTCACAGGACAAGCTGCTGTGGCTGCCGAAGGGCTGGAGGGCTGCTCACTTCAGGGGCCGCGCGCGCGTCTCTGGGGTCAGCGGTCAGCAGTATGCGGAGAGGGACCCTGAGCTGGATTTCCCTCTTGGGAAGCCAACCTGTTGCTCAAGCCTGAGACAGAATTCTGTGTCTGGACCCCAAACAGGGCTTGTTTGGCTGCATGCTGCTGCTACTGTTGTTTAATATTTAATTGCCAAAATGCAGGAGTTAACATACAGAAATATGAATTCCCAGTTGGGGTGCATCCCGAGGCGCTCACGGCACGCCAGCACCTACCAGCCTCAGGTTCTTCACCACCAGCTCGCCTGCCAGCTCCTGCTCCTTCAGCTTCACCTGCAGCGCCCGCATGTCCCTGCACATGGCACCCTCCTGCGCGCGGCGCTCCTCCTGCGCCAGCTTCATGACCACGGTGCCCTCCGCCTTCATCTCCATCAAGCTGTTCTGATGCTCGTACAGCAAGTGCTTCACCTTCTGCTTATAGACCTGCAGGCGGGGGGAGCACCGCCGCTCACCTGCTCTGCCCGCTCACCTGCACGCACATGCCCACCTGCACACACCTGCCCACCTGCACGCACATAAAAAATACCCTCAGTTCCCCACGTCAAGGACACAAAGGGCTGTGACTCCCAAAAGCAAAGGCGAGACGACGCCCCTGGCCCCCGGTCCGGCTCCCCTGCCCACGTGGCAGCTCCTATGGGGACAGGCCAGCCCCACGCACCTTGACCTCCGCCTGGTGCCGCTCCTCGGCCTCCTCCATCTCCCGGCCTCTGTTCCTCAGCTCAGCCGTCTTCTCCTCCAGCTGCCTCCGCGTCATCTCCCAGAAGGTGTGGATCCTGTCCCGCTCCAGCTGGAAGTAGCTGCGCTCGACCCGCTCACGGTCCAGCTCCTCCCGGATGCGGCCAATGTGTTCCACCACCTGGCAGGCAGAACAGGGCCAGTGGGGCGGCCGGGGCGGGCCACCTGCCGCCAGGCGAGGGTGCACGGAGAAAGGCCAGGAAGAAAGAGGGAGGGGCTGCTCTCACCTCACAGTAAATCAGAGCTAAAAGTGAGAAGTTAAAGTAGGGGGCTGGGAAGGCTCGGGGACAGGGGACGTTCAGCAAACAGCAGAAATCTCTTGTATTTGGCCAAGAGTCATAAAATGATTATATGCTTTTATTCCTTCCTGGGGATTCACACTAAAGAAATTTCTCAAAAGAACACAGGAGCTTTCCGCTTAAAGATATTAGCTACACCATTATTACAACAGCAAAAGAATTAAAAAGGAAATGATCTAAGATGCTTTTAAGTAGGAGAATGGTTGGGAATTCCCTGGCAGTCCCGTGATAAGGACTTCACGCTCTCACTGCCGGGGCCTGGGTTCAACCCCTGGTTGGGGAACTAAGATCCCACTAGCCACACAGCACGGCCAATAAATAAATAAATAAATAAATGGGAGAATGGTTGAGAAATTAGAGTATATCAGCTAGAAGGTTATATGGCCCAACAACACAAAGATATGAGAATGATGTAAATATGTTCACAAAACAATGCAAAATGTAAAAAACCTTTCACCTTTAAAGGTATACGTTAAGCAAAAAATATACAAAAGCAGTAAACCCGAAACAGTCAGGATGCTTTGGTCCAGAGCCAAATGCAAATCTGCAAATAGGTTAAAGGAAAAAAAAAAAAAACAGGGCCACCAGGCCGGGACGGGGCTGGGCTCCCCAGGAGGGAGGTCTACAATGGGGTCTACTGTGTCAATCAGACAAAGGATCTAAGCCAGGCTCCTCCCGACTCTGACTGGCTCACGCTGGACGTTCCATCACTCGATATCTAGATTTCTTATAAATATCTGGATTTCAAGCTTCTCTTCAAAAATCAGCAGACAGACAGCTCTGGAGCCCAGGGCCCACAGGTTAACATGCAGCGAACTGGCCGCAGCTGCCCTGAGTCTCTCACTCCTGCCTGGGCCCTGGAAGCTTCCCAGGTGTCCACGCTTGGAACACTGGACAGCAAGGCTCTGCTCTGCAGACTGGCCACTGCCATGTCACAGTTCTGCCCCCACCGGACAGGAGAAAATGGGGAGCCAAGAAACAGCCTGACGGCTGGGGCAGCGCAGTGGGTAAGCCGTTCACGCGGCAGCCTGGGGACCTTTCCAAAGCGCAACCTGACCCACCACCCTCTGCGGACACTGCCTGTGACACAAAGCCTCTCCACCGCTGTTCAAGGGCCTCGGCCCAGCTCTCCAGCTTCAGGTCTTATGCCTGTTTCAGTCACCTTTCATTTCCTTATCTTAAAACCATCAAAAGTAAGTAAGGGTCATTAACGCTCACAGGAGTGCATGTCAGACGCTCCCAGGCCACACTTGCTCTCACAGTTTGCACACGTTTCAGGAGCCTTGTAATTGAAACTGTAATTATATAACCATGTTCTCTAGCCCTTAAGTTCATCAAAGTGAACAAGTGGCCAAAAATAATTCACAATGTTTAATGGTAAATAAAACAAATGAGAATGCTATAGGTGTATGTACTATGATAAGAGCTCTGTAAACATCAGCTGCTTACAAAAGATAAGAATGAAAGAGAACCCAGAAAATTTAAAACAGCTTTTATATCAGAAAGACATTTCCTTCCAAATTCCTACTACCCTATAAAAAAGTTCACCCATGTGCCTGTACCGCGTTGTTTTATAACACGTGCTGTGCTTGGGCGTGCAGGCGTGGGAGGGGCGTATCCACGTGTGCACAGGGCAGCAGGAGCCAGGCTGAGGGGAGGTGCACGCAGAAGCGGAGGCAGCGGTCTGAAAGAGGCTCCTAGGAGAAGCGCGGAGTACCAAACCCATCCCACCCCAACTCAGCGCCGGTCCACGGCTCAGGACAGCCCGCTCACCTGTTCCTTGCTCATGTCCTCTGGAGCAAGACCATCAACAATCGGGGTACCTTTGGCTTTCCCTTTCTTCCCTTTCTTTTTGGGCGCCTTTGGTTGAAGAATAGATGGTTGGGTTAGAGTTCACCTTCTGGCTGGCTGATTCCCTCCTGGGGCCGCTTGGGAGAGGAATTCCTGTTCTGGAACGTCCATCTGACTGCCCGCTGTCTCCTGCTTCCACCTAGACCACATCACTCTGCGCTAAGGTTCCCCACCGTTAACCACAGGCACATTCTGTTGATACCTTTGAAGCAGCAAGGAGAAATCTGCCTTCTCAGAAGAGAATATTGTTTTCCCTCAGAAAGGAAGGGAGGGAAACTTGTTCCTTAGTAGATAGCAGAGACCTCCTTGGTGTGGATGCAAAATCTACTCGGCCTCAAAAAGGAAGATTCCCCCATACCACACTGTCAAATGCTACCACACTGGCTATAATGCTTGGCAAGCACCATAAAGAAACCTGCAGTAAGCTGTTCAGTGAGTGTAGGGAGAAGTGCCTCACAGCAACAATCAAAGCTGGCAAGATGAGGGTTCCTTCCCTCAAAACACAAAACCTCAAAGAACCCTGGTGGAGGGAGCCAGAGCAGACTGTGGCGCTCGCCGTGGGCTCTGTCAGTGGGGCGAGGCCGCTTTTAACAACTTCAGCAAGGTGCCAGATGAGACCTTCCACCCTCACTCCCCTCCCGAGGGCCACTCAGCAGACGGCCAATTTCCTTCTCCTTCTGCCTTTACTTCTCCCAAGTTTCTGTGGCCCATGCTTGTGTGTACGCGCATCTACGTGACTCAGTAACATTTTTACTACAAAAAAAGTTTTTGTGGAAATCTTACAAAACGTAAAGAAAAAAAGGGAAATCACCCTCTACTCCCACAAGCTAGTAAAAGTAGATGTATTCTGGTGGTCCTTCAGAAGACCCATCCACAGAAATCTTCACTCCTAATACAATGCCCTCTTTCCAATCCCTCTACTCCAATAAGTCCACCCCATCAGAAGAGCCTAAAGGTTTGTCACCACCCAGCATCAGGGACAGTCAGCCAGCGGCCGCCGCCTGGTAGAGCCCCTGGGGCTCCCGCACACAGAGGCATCCTCCCTGCCTCCCACAGCTGATGGCCACATCTACCTGGAAACTGAGTTACCGACAACCCCTACATCATGGCGGGGGTGGGGTGGCGCAGCTGTGAGCCCTACCGCAGAGAGTGGCAGGGATGGAGAGCCCCAGAGGCAGCAAGCTCCCGCCTTGCTCTGCTCAGTACCGGCCTCACTCCTCGCGGGCTCTCCAAGGAAACAGCAGTTCCTCTACCCTGAAGCTCTGCCCCGAAGGACTCCACGGGCACTGGACACGCTGTCAGGACCCTCCGGTGTAGAGGGTCCTCTGACCACCGTGGTATGCCCCGGGCTCTCGACCCCAGAGACTGCAGGACCTGTGTCTCCCAAGCCCCTGCCACGTGAGACCCTAGGTCCCAAGGATCTCATCAATGAGCCTTCCATTCCAGGTAGGAAAGCCCCTCGACCCAAGCTCTCTGTTCTGGACGCCGTGCACACCGGGCCCTGGGTCTCGGGGGCGGGAGAGGCGGGTGCTCTCTGACCACCCACCCCTGTGAGCACAGGATCCTGGAGAGCCCAGGTCTCTCAGCTCCAGGTGCGTGCGGGGTCCGGCGTCCGGCGTCCGGGGTCCGGGGTCCAGGGTCCGCAGCACCCTGGGCCCTCCCCGCTGGGACTCCACGAGAGCGCCAAGCCCTCAGTTCCGGGACCCCAGAGCTCCAGGCCTCCCGCCCCGGGGTCTTCCTGCGCACAGGGCCGGCCCCCGAGCCCCAGGCACCCGGCGCGGACCCTACCAGACTCCCACCCCTCCTCACCATGGCTCCAGAGTCCCGGCGGCCGCGACCCGCAGACCAACGCGCCAGCCCAGCCCGGGCTGCGCGGTCTCCAGGCAACCGCAGCTACATTCCGCGCGAAGTCTCGAGGACCCTCGCGAGAGTCCGCCCGAGGGGTCAGGGCCCGGCAACGGCGGGAGCGCGTCCCTAGCAACGCGCTGGGCTGAGTCACTGGGTTTGGGCCGCAACTGGGCGTCATCCACAAGCTAGATTTCCACGACGCCCGTGAACGCGTTCGTTGCGGGACGTGTCTTGTTTATTGCGGGTCCTCCCCACTAGAACTTAAGCTCCATGGAGGTGAGAGGAACTGTTTCCATCCACTTCTTACTTACTGTACGTGCGTGCGGGTCCTACAGTGCATAATTTCAGTGAGTGAGTGACGGGAGGGGCCGGAAAGATATGCACCGCGACGTTTTCCAAATTAGATTCAAATTCAGGCTGAGGCTGTGCCGCTGGGCCCACCCCACCCCCACCCCCACCCCCGCCCATCTTTGAAGATTCCTCCCACCTGAGGCTAGAAGATAGCTGGGTTTCCACAAACGCTCAGAAGAAACAAAAGTAGGGAAGAGAACATGTTCCAGCTGGGTCCAAAGTTTAGAAATCAGCAAGTCTCCCCGTCGGAAAAACTAACAGCCCTTTGGAGGGACTGTATTGCACAGAGCCGTGATTTATTTATAGCAGCCCTGAGGCCTTTGTGAGGTCTGGTGGTGTCACTGTGCCTGGGCAGACAAGAGCCTGAGCCTGTGTCAGAAACCTCTGGCCTGATAAGGGTCTTCTCCCCTAAGGTGGGGTCCTCCCAGAGGGGTTTTGGCAAGTGAGACAGTGCAGCTGGGTAGCACAATGGAGTAATGATAATTATTTAACACTTACTTTGCAGACCCAATATGCTAGGTGTCTCATGCTGACTGGCTTTTTGCTTTAGAAGCCTGGATGGGAGTCCTGAATTAAATAAGTGCATTAACAATAATTCCTTTCAACAAAAAGGGCAAAAATAGGAGGGTTAGCTCAGGATAATGAGACAGGATATTCATCTGTCACAAATCAACAGCACAGCGTGGTTTATCAGTGTGCACTGCAGAGACGCATAGTTCAGGGAGGCCTTGCTGCCAGCTCTCTGGGCTCCCAATAAGACCCACAGCGATCTGTGCTTTTCATATATGAGTTCAGATTTTTAGAAAAGAGCCTTTTCTTCACATGGATGGCTTGAGATACTTTTATTCAGCATCAAGCTGTGCATCTCGGAAATCCAGATAAATGGCATCTGAGTTTCCTGTAAAATCAAAGACCAAATGTTAATACATACAAACTCATTGACCTATGTCTAATACCTGGCTTTTCCTAACACCCACGTACCTAGTCGTCCAGGTAAACTGCCTCAGACCACAGCAGCAACTCAATGGAGGCCTGGATGTTAGGATAACACAGTGCTTAAGAAGACTAGACTCTCTTTTAGAGATAAACAGTGAAGTATTTACAAATGAAACGACATAATATATATAGGATTTGCTTCAAAACAACCCAGCAATGCACGGAGGCATTGAAAGTAAAGAAAAATCTGGATCAGCCATGAGTTGGTAATCGCTGAATCTGGATGATGGTTCATGTAGGTTAACTGTGCTAGTCTCTCTACTTTTGTTTGAAAATGGATTTTTTCCCTTTTTTACTTTAGTTTAATTTTATTTTTTAATTGAAGTATAGTTGATTTACATGAAAATATTTTTAATGAAAAGTTAAAAATAAGCACTGGCCTCTGGAGTCAGATCACCTGCTGTTTACCAGCTAGGATGCCCTTGACAAGACTCCGTCTGTATCCATTTATTCATATGTCAAATGGGGATAATTAATAAACACCAATACTGTTACAGTTACTATGGCTGTGTGACACCTTGCCCCCAAATGAAATACAGTGACATCTGTTTTGCCCATGAATCTACAACTTGGCTGGGACTCAATGGGGACAGCCCACCTTGGTTCCACGTATTACCCCCTGGGGGTGGCTCAAAGGCAGGCTCTCATGCCTGGCTACTGGCTGAGACCTTATGTCTGGTTCATTGGCTATTGTGGGCCAGAAAACACTCAAGTGGCCCCTCAAATGGCCTGGGCTTTCTCACACAGAGTGGCCGGGTTCCAGGGGAGCCTTCAGAAAGAGCTGAATCCTACTTAAGACGCAGCCTTGGAAGTCACATGGCATCAACCTGCCACAGTCCATTGGCCAGAGCAGCCACAAGCTTGCCCAGGGTCGAGCAAAAGGGGCACAGACAGGGAATGCAATGCCTTGACGGGAGCTGAATGTTCTGGAAGCCACAGGGAATCAGAAATACTGCTCTGACCATTTTGAGACAATACAAATTTCCACTTCAGCTGAGTCTGAGCAGCCAGTGCCGACCTACTGTCCTGACCTCCTTATGTCCCCACCACCCACCCTGTAGCTCAGCTTTGTCCCCAAGGGGCTGACCTGCCTCTTGGAGTGGCACAGAGTGCAAACTGCAGCGGCTTGTCCTCGTGGGTCACGAGATCATTTTAGCAGTTTTTGTTTTCGTTTGTTTTGTAAACTAAAGAAAAATGGGAACTATTAGCCTGCCTCACTGACTGACAGTTTCAAAGGCCATGGGCTCCGTGTGACTGGAGCTGGACTAGGTGGTGAGGCCCTTCGTTGGCTGAAGCTGTATGGACAACCTGCCTTTAGGAGAGTGCTTTCCTGCAAACACCAAGTTCATACTCACCTCCCTCCTCTGCGGATTTTTCCACGCCCAGCTGGGAACAAACTGTTTCCCTGATGCTTTTCTTTGGTTTGTTTAGTCTTTGTGCAGACCATGGGCTTGCATTTGGATCTTCTGGCTTCCAGCGCCCGGCTGTGGCACCCTGGTCGGCTGCCTACCCTGTGTTCAGCTTCACCTGGAAAATCAGGATCCCGTCTTCTAAGGATTCCTCAGGAGAATTAATGCACCAAGGGCCTGGCACAAAGCCGCATTCTAGGGCCTCGTGCAGGGTCCAGCGTCTGGAAGTGGGGCTCCATCGAACCGTTTGGTGCTCTCAGCACGCCCAGACCCTGCCTGCCTGCTTGCCTGTCTTCCGGGGGGGCCCCCTCTCTGCCCGCCTCCTTCTCCTGACCTC